GACTGATGGGGTGTCAGGTTGTATTCTGGCTCTGTCAGTGTTTTTGAGTTTGTTCTCTGTAGTACTGTATTCCTATTTTAATTTTCCTAGTAAAGAACTGTTACACCTATTCCCATATCTTTGCCTGAGTGCCCCCTTAATTTCAAAATTATAATAATTTGGAGGGAGAGGGTTTACATTCTCCATTTTAAAGAGAGTCTCTGCTTGGCAGACACCTGTCTTTCAAACCAAGACACCCAGGGATGTGCATTGGCTGAACAGCCCAAGTATGAGCAGCAAAATTCTTGGTTTTGCCTCCCCAGGTCCACCTGAGATGCTGAAATTAGGGTCTGCTGTCTGCAGGCCCCCAAAGGGATTCTCCAAATCAGCAAATGTGCTGAGCATCCCAGTCCAGCTCAGGGCATTGCATGCATCCAGGTGTCCATCTCCAGCTGTGCTCCCAAGTGTGCATGACTGGATTCAAATTTCACTGACTTCACTGATGGTTACAGGCTCATGCTGAACTAAATTCTTTCCTGTTACATATTTTTCTCTTTTTACAGATATAAATTGAAGGGAAAATCCAGTTATTTCCATTGCAACAGCAAGTTTGACTAACTCTACTTTTTGTTATACTCTGCTGTATGGTTCTCCATCAGAAAATACTGATGAATTATTATACTTTCAGTGTATTCCTATCCAAAATGTTCTGAGTTGGAAGAAAACACTTGCATATCTGTCTCCAGCACCTGTGTGATTCTGCTCTTTCAGCAGCAACAAAAGAAACTATTGAAGGATATTTCCCACACTGAACTGTATTTTGTACCAGTGTCGGCTGCATTTGAGATTAAGTCCGGTAGGTTTTACATTTTTACAATGGGAGATAAAAATGTGATCTCCATGATCCCTGGGGCTACAGGAAAGGTAGATAAAAAGTTCAGCAGCTCTTTCTCACAAGGCAAAAACCAGAATCTGTGCAAGGAAAGAAGTCAGCAGATTGAAAGTAAAACAAAATAAACTGACCTAACAGGTTTCTTAATCTCTGAGATGGGATAAACTGCTTCTACTTTGAACTCTCTCTTTTATGCTTTCAGGTTTTTTTCACTAGCTTTCAGTTTCTAAATGGATCCAGAGAGAGGAAGAAGAACCTGGGACTGGATATATCAGAGAGAAAACTTTCCAAAATTGCTCTCAAATGCTGACACATCAGCTCAGTATATTCCAAGACCAGGCTTTATTGCCTTTAGGAAAGATTTACAACTTGGTCAGACTGAACAAAGGTAAGACCATAGCAACAGCTTGCACTTGATTGTGAAAGAGAGGGGAAGGCCAGAAGCTGGTTCTATGTGGAGGCCAAACTCCTTTATTTACAAAAACTACCTAGTAACACAATTCCACTTTACATTTTGGATGTTGACTTATTTTCCTCTGTGCTGTCCAGAGCTAACACTAAGGAATCAGCTTGGAAACCTGTGGCTTGCCAAGAGATGGGGAAAGCTCTTTAAATGACAGTATTTATATACTGCAAATTCATAGGAAAAAAAAAATTCTGTCAATCCTGACTTCTTAATGAGACTGGGTATGTTACAGAGTGGAAAGACCCTGGAGGAGTGAGCAACTGCCCTCTCTCCTGTTTCTGCAAAAGAATTCCCTTAACACTCACTGGCAGATAAAAACCAAGTCCCTTCCCAAATCCTGCTTTTCCTTCTCAAGAACAGGATCAGTGGAGCAGAAGCTCCTCTTTGTCCCAGAGCCTCTGATGCATCCCTAAATAAATCTCTGTGCTGCTAATCGTGGGTTACTGCACACTCCCAGCACTTCCTCCTGCAGGTTTCCCTTCCAGACATCACTTCCATGTGTGGCCAGCAAGAGAGCAAAGCCATGGACAGGCTCATCCCTCTGGAAAAACACCAGTCATGACAGGCAAGGTGCTTTTTCCTCTGTGGGAGCTCCAGTGAGGGTCTCTCCTGCACCCAACCACCCATTTCTAACATGTTTGTAGGAATATAACCCCTTCAGGGATTTCTGAGCCTTTAAAAATTTTGGCTGAAGTTGAGCAGTAAATTTCAGAGCCATTGGAAAGTAGAAGGAGATGGATAAGGAAGGGAGGAAAAGCTGACAGCACAGTCACACAAGCCAATTTCCTGATCAAATCCATCTCTAAAATGCCAGGGTGACTCCAAGCCAACCCAAACAAGCAGTTGGTGATTTCCACCCGACTCAGTGCTGAGCAGTGAAGGGATGTGACATTTTTGCAGAGTGCACTGTAGCAGTGGTAACTCGGCTCAGGGAGCAGCAGAGCTGCAGCCATGCAGTATTTATTGGCCTCTCTCCTCTGCTCCTTCTCCCTGCTCTTTTCCCCCCTGGTGAATCAGCTGGGATGCTGCCACTGCTGGAGGAAATCCCTTGCTGTACCACTGAGCTGCAGAGGGAACATTCCCAAAAGATCTGGCACAGGGCAAACCTTCCCCAGATCTGGCAAAATGAGAAAACGTTCCAACTCTGTGAATTTTAGCAAATGGAAAGAAAATGTCAAGATTTTCCCGTTCCTTTCTTCACAGTTTATGGAATTTTCCAAGCAGGAAGGTAACATTGTTTGGGGGTGTTTCTCTAGGCTCAGGTACACACTTAGGAAAGTAAAAGTTACCAACCAAAAATAAATTCAACTACAAGCATGCATTACTTGTGACTCACACAAACAAGTCAACAAAAATCATACAACCCCATCAGCAATCTCAAGTGGAATATTTCTGCCTAACTTCTTAATTCTCTCACAATGCCAGAGAATTCCCAGGTTCTGTTTCCGAGCTGGCTCCCAGCTGACCAGCCAGCTTATCTGCACAGATGCCTGCACAGCCACAGAGAAACATCCATCTCTGTTAATTTATGAGGATGGCACAGAAAAGGGATACACTGAAACACTCAAAAATGAAGCACTTGGGAGCATTCAGTGACAGGATGAGCATGCCTAAATTAACACAACTTCAAATTACACATTTCATTAACTTAGCCCTGACTTTTCTGAGCACAAACATTGTCACAGCATCCTGTTTTCTCTATTGTCAGGTACATAAAAATGTCATCTGCCTCAAAGACCCTTTTAGAGGCACATAGGCTTCATGTTTTCCCTAGCAGCCTCTGAAATCAAAGGTAATTTATAAATTATGTCTACGATCCTGAATACCAGCAGAGTTCATTTGACTACAGAACACTTGACACAACCCATTTTACTTAAAAACCTGCTAAAGCAGGCCAGTTATGCTGCATGCAAGTCCTGACTGCTGCTTTAACACAAAACTCTTGTAATTTATAGGGAGCTGAAGGCACTTTGCACTGTCAGGCTGCAGGCAGACCATTAGTTTAGCAATTCTCAAAGACTCCCAGATGTCTTTAGCACCCCAAACACACACACACTGAAGTCTCCACTTTTCCTCAAGTTAAATTGAGAGCTCAAATACTGAGGGAAGCACTAAAACCAAGGCTTGTGTCTCCAGTACATGATGGAGTCAAATCCTGCCCGGGAGAGATGTAATAACCAAACCTGATTTGACTCCAGCTCAGCAAAGAAAGAGGCAACGAGCTGAAAAATGAGTGTAGCAAGGGAAGAGCTACCTGAAATTTTGGGAGGCTACTCTCAGCTAATCCTGCCATTATGTAAAGCCAGAGCAAACAAAGCCTGGTCACGAGGTGGAAATACAAACAGAATCAGGAAAACTGCTCAAGAAAGTGGAAAAATAGTTATTTTCTTCATCAGGAGACACCATATTTGGGCACATATTTAAAATTCTGAATAGAATTCCACATGGACCTTTTCAGAACTAAATATGAAGTCTACAGCTGCTCAAACACTTGCTGGAATGAACTCACATATTTGTGTCTCTCTTTGGTGTTTTTTTCTATGCTCTATTACTCTAATCTTTTTTTCCTCAGCAGCCTAAACATAATGGCCTAAATGCTTGTATATTGTGTGGCAGCAAAGAACGATGTTCAGAAATGCCAGATGCTTTGTGCCTTCAGATTATTCACTGCTTATGGCAGCAAGTTCATGCTAGCAGCAAAAAGAGTAAATACCAAAATGTAATTCCTGTCCAAATCCCAATAATAGAAATATGCACTGCTAATT